AACGTATCAAAAATATGCCATATACATGTATGTCTTTTAACATTTGGTAAATACTTAATTGAAATACAATCGAACATCTAACTATGATTACCAGTTGAAGGTACCTTTATTACGATAGGAAAACAAAAACACAGTTAAGATTGGATGATAAATTTATGCAAAATATTTTTTCAAGGAAAAACTACTGATTATAAATTAATTAATAAGCCGGAGAAAGAAATCGCTGAATTGATACTAAAATGTGTGCTAAATGATAATGGAAAGGTTACTGAAAGACGACGGAAAGGTCACTGAAAGACGACGGAATGGTCACTGAAAGTCGACTGAAAGTTGACGGAAAGGTTACTGAAAGATAACTGAAATGTGTCCACTGAAAGGTGACTGAAAGGTACCTGAAATATGGCTGAAAGGCAACTGAAAGGTCACTGAAATGTACCTGCCATTCAGTGGCTGAATGGCAACTGAAAAGTCACTGAAAGCCCCCTTTCAGTTTTAACTGAAAGGTCTCGTTTCTTCCTGTGCTTTATTTATGTTTTAGATGAGGCTCGAGTTGAAACATCTGGGTCTCTACCTGAACCAGAAGAATGTGATGAGGAAGTGACAGGTAATGGATCATCATTACTAGTTGTTTGTGTAGCCTTTTAGTTGAACAAGTTCTTAACTTGTCATTCTTAAAGATAACAGTATTTGCTTGGCGCAGTGGTTAGAGCGTCTGCCGTAGAGTCGCGAAGTTAGGAGTCAATTCTTATGTTGCTGGATCGAATTCCACTTGGGACGTGGAGACTGGTCCTTCAGATGAGGCTATATAAACCCTGGCCCTTGGTTAAATAGGTGCTGGCACAAAAAAGATCCCTTACTGCTCATAGGCCCTGAGTGCTGAGCAAAGGAAAAAATTTGTAGTCCTCCACCGGCAAGTGTTGGTGTTTCCATATGAATAAAAATGCTCCAAAAAGACATTAAAGAAGAAACAAAACAAAAGTTTTTGTTTGCAGTATTTAATGTTATTTGATTAAACTGTTATAAGAAGCACTGAGTATATTGAAGTTGTTAACAGGTCATGGAACTTTTTACTATCTGAAATTGTATAGATGTTAATGTTTATAGATTTTCCACATTTTTTTTTCATTTTTGTACATTTCCATTCATTTTTCTTAAAGTGCCCAACCAATTTTACAATTTATTTGTAAGCATTTTTGTCACAATACATGTATAAATACATTTATAAGCTATATTCTAGTTTTAACTTTAGTTCTGGGTGATTGTTAGTTATGATGAATATACAATGTACTTGTAATGGTTTGGGCCGTGGATACATGTATCATACTGGATAGCTCAGTCGGAAGACATCTGACTAGTGATGCAGGGGTCCTGGGTTTGATTCCCAGTTCAGCCATATTATACTCTTATGAAGTAAAAAGTTAGGATAGAAGTCTGTCATTCTTAAAGATAACATTCACTGAGTTGAGCTTTGAAATCTTTATTTATGTTTTAGGTGAGACTCAAATTGAAACATCTGGGTCTCTACCTGAACCAGAAGAATGTGATGAGGAAGTGACAGGTAATGGATCATCATTACTAGTTGTTTGTGTAGCCTTTTAGTTTAACAAGTTAGTAACTTTAGTTTTCATCCCATTTTGAGAGATTTTCTTCGGCCGTGGACATTGTCCTGGATAGCTCAGGCGGAAGAGATTTGACTAGTGATGCAGGAGTCCTGGGTTTGATTCCCGGTTTAGCCATTCTTTTCTCCTTTCATGTTACATACTCTTATGAATTAAAAAGCTAGAATAGAAATCTGTCATTCTTAAAGGTAATATTCACTGAGTTGAATAACATTCACTGAGTTGAGCTTTGAAATCTTTATTTATGTTTTAGATGAGACTCAAATTGAATCATCTGGGTCTCTACCTGAACCAGAAGAATGTGATGAGGAAGTGATAGGTAATGGATCAGCATTACTAGTTGTTTGTGTAGCCTTTTAGTTGAACAAGTTCTTGTCATTCTTAAAGATAACAGTCGCCTGCTTGGCGCAGTTGTTAGAGCGTCCTCTCTAGAGTCACAAAGTTAGGAGTCAATTCTTACTTCGCGGGTTCAAATCCCGCTAGGGACATGGAGACTGGTTCTTCAGATGAGGCCGTATAAACCCTGGCCCTTGGTTAAATAGGTGCTGGCACAAGAAATATCCCTCACTGCTCAAAGGCCCTGAGTGCTGAGCAAAGGACAGAATTTGTAGTCCTCCACCTGCAAGTGTTGGTGTTTCCATATGAATTAAAATACTCCAAAAAGACATTAAAGAAGAAACAAAACAGTTTTTGTTTACAATATTTAATGTGATTTGACTAAACTGTTATAAGAAGCTTTGAGTATATTTAAGTTGTTGACAGGTCATGGAACTTTATACCATCTGTAATGGTTTTAGATGTTCATGTTTATAGTTTTTCCACTTTTTTTTCATTTTTGTACATTTCCATCAATTTTTCTTAAGGTGCCCAACCAATTTTTTTGGGATGCATTTTTGTCAGAATATAAATACATGTATAAGCTATATTCTAGTACTGGGTGATTGTTAGTTATCATAATGATGAATATACAATGTACTTGTAATGGTTTGGGCCGTGGATATCGTCCTGGATAGCTCAGTCGGAAGACATCTGACTAGTGATGTAGGGATCCAGGGTTCGATTCCCGGTTAAGCCATACATTTTCTCCTTTAATGTTACATACTCATATGAAGTAAAAAGTTAGGATAAAAGTCTGTCATTCTTAATGATAACATTCACTGAGTTGAGCTCTGAAATCTTTATTTATGTTTTAGATGAGACTCGAGTTGAAACATCTGGGTCTCTACCTGAACCAGAAGAATGTGATGAGGAAGTGACAGGTAATGGATCAGCATTACTAGTTGTTTGTGTAGCCTTTTAGTTTAACAAGTTATTAACTTGTCATTCTTTAAGATAACAGTCACCTGCTTGGCGCAGTGGTTAGAGCGTCCACTCTAGAGTTTGAAGTTAGGAGTCAATCAGGAGGGTTATAATAATCGATAAGTCCACCCGTCTGTCTGTCTGTTACACTTTGGGGTACCCATCTCTTATCCGCATATCCTATTATACAATGTACTTGTAATGGTTTGGGCCGTGGATATCGTCCTGGATAGCTCAGTCAGAAGACATCTTAGTAGTGATGCAGGGATCCAGGGTTCGATTCCCGGTTCAGTCATACATTTTCTCCTTTAACTCTTTCATCCCTATATATATTTCTATGTAAAATACCATTGAACACTGAATATCTGGAAAAAGTTGTGAAATAATAACAAAAAATTTTTAAACGTCAATATCTTTTTCCTTTTTAGAGTAAGATATATAAAATTATATATATTTACACAGGGAAAATACTAAATTTTAATGTTTTGGGGGTTTTCGCTTTGAAAAGTAATTTTTTACCTGTATTTCACAGGTGAGAAACAGGTAAATTTGTAATTTTCTTTAATTTTGAATAAAAACTACTATTTTATTAACTTCTGATTTTATAATCATGTGTAAAACAGAGTACAGAAATCAATTTTAACAACAGGGACAGAAAGTTTGACTGTAAACAGGTGTAAATTACCAGTTAGTGACCACAGGTAAACCCGGTACACATTAATGTAGCTATACTAAAGCTACATAAGATTGTCATGAACATTTACATTTCATTCCTTTGAAAAAAATCTAAAAAGTAACCTGATTTTGTCATTACCATACCATTTTAATTACTTTAAGGAAGGCAGATGCATATATGTAAGATTAGAATGAATTAAGATGCATCAAATTTAATTGATTTACCTGTATTTCCCAGGTGAAAAGCAAATACCTTAATTTGCTTGGATTTTATTGTCCGTTAGTTTCAAAAAAGAAAATATCGGACTCAAAAATGATAAACAAGTCAATTTTAATGACCTGATTTGAAAACAAATGAAATGTCAGATTGAGTCTTGACAGTATACCTGCTTACAACTAATTACAGGTGAGTATACAGTTAAATTAATGGTAATCATGGTAATGTACCTTTTGATATTGTACGCTAGCTGCTAAATCCTATTCATCATAAATATAGCTGTAAAAGAGAAATAAAATAAACATAGACATTACAAATTTTTATTCATAATTAATCAACACAACATGGTACACATATTCAATTTCATTCATAACATATAAATAAATAAATAAATAAATACATGAATATAAGTAACCAGGTAATAAACTTAGGTAAAACTGGGTAATTTTTCAATTCAATAAACTTGTCAATCAATCCAAGTCTATTCAACATACATTTAATAACACACTTTTGAATGATACTCTTTGAAACACACGATTTTAGTGTTGCAGCAAAGATATTTTTCACATTTTTCACATTTAATTGTGGTTTTACACCTTTTGAATGGATTTTCAGCATAGGAGACACCTGGATTTCTTTCTTTGAATTTCAAATGCCTTTCATTGCACACAACACACACATGATCTTTCCCTTCTCCAACATCAGGTAAGTGATTTAGACCATCCAGTCTGAGGAGTTGATTCGATGTTGCAGATCTAGACCTTCCAGCCCTTTTGCGAATACGTCGTTGCCCAATAAGTTCATGCGCAAGATCCAATTTGAACTTTAAAAGGTCACGCTTCCTTTTCCCAGGGCTATTATGTTCAACGACACTTCCCTCAAGGACATAAGCATTGTATATGGAAAGTTCAAGGAGTTTCCTTTCAATTTTCCTATACCAACGCATAGTTTTTTTTGATTTGTTCAACTTTGTCACTTGATCATTGCGATCCACGGCGCCCATGTATTTAGAATATGCTGCTCCTGATGGTACGTCTGGGAACTCGGTTGTACTTCCGTCTTTATTGTACCGCTTCACGGTCAAGTTTTCCTTTTCTGGTATATGACACGTAGACAAAGAGTAAACCATTTTCTTATCCTTCCAACACGTAGCGATCATGTCATCACACTGTCTCCAATCGTAATAGCCTCTAGGAAGTCTTCGAGCTTCTGATTTTGATTTTACAAGATCCTGTGGAAACCCACGACGATTCGGTCTGACAGTTCCACACAGACAGGTACCAATTGTTGTCAGGTAGTGCGCTAGGACTAGTGTAAAAATTGTCAGTAAAGACACAGTGTCCTTTGTTTTCTAACCCACGAAGCAAGTCAATCACAACATGGGCACTGAGACCAAATGTACGATTAATTTCAGTTCCATACTTTCCGACATATACATCAAAATTCCAACAGTACGCACTAGTGGCATCCGCAAGCATCCAGAATTTAATTCCAAATTTACATGGTTTATCTTTCATGTACTGTTTAAAAGACAACCTTCCCTTAAAAGGTACCATAGATTCATCAACACTAATTTCTTCATGAGGAATGTATTCAGATTTAAAAGAATTGCGTATTTTATCGAGCATGTATCTTGCTTTGGATAGCTTGTCGTTACGGTGTTCCAAACCATCTTCTTCACTTATAGAAAAATTCAAATACCTTCTGATTTGCATAAACCGGTCTCTGCTAATGACATCTGATATTCTTGTTCCCAACATAAAGTGCTTTTCATCCTCCTTCCAATAGAGATCATCTCTGTCCAGCTTGATAATACCCATCATGATCAACACTCCATAAAACACTTTGATTTCATCTATAGTCACATCATTCCACACTCCTTTGTTGTTATTAGCATCTTCTCTTCTCTTTTTATTGGCATTTCTGTTTGTACTGTCCACAATATGATTAAAAATTTCGTCCGAATAGAAAATTTGGAAGTAATTGAGCACAGATGCTGAACTATCTAACACACGAACAGGTCCTGGCTTCTCTGAATACGGAAGTCGACATCTTACCGAGAACTCGTCAGTCCAAACAAAATTTTCAGGTGGTGTGTAGCCATTGTACACCTCATTTTCCTCTTCATCTGAATAATTACGATCTTCAATTATTCGTTCTATCTGATCTCTTTCACTTTCGTTTAAATTTACCAAATCAAATGCCCCCAAGTCATCGAAATATTCAGCATCAGACCACTCGTCCGAATCGCTCTCAACGTCCGACATTTTTAAATCGACTTCATAGAAAAAAAAAGGTTTAAATGCCACAATTTACATCATCCACAATCGTAAAACATCAATCGGGCATCCATTTTTGTTTGTTTACATAGCTACTTTTAATTTATAAGCCGCAGATTCGTATTTTGCTTTCAGTATATGAAAAATTTGGCGGTAAAATTCAAACTGTCTAAATACCCGCTACAGCGGGCTGTAGGGGTGAAAGGAGTTTTACTGACTGCCCGCTTCAGCGGGCTATCGGGGTGAAAGGGTTAATGTTACATACTCCTATGAAGTAAAACGTTAGGGTAGAAGTCTGTCATTCTTAATGATGACATTCACTGAGTTGAGCTTTGAAATCTTTATTTATGTTTTAGATGAGACTCGAGTTGAAACATCTGGGTCTCTACCACAACCAGAAGAATGTGATGAGGAAGTGATAGGTAATGGATCAGCATTACTAGTTGTTTTTGTAGCCTTTTAGTTTATTTAGAATTCTTAAAGGTAATACTGTATACAATGTTATTTTTGCCACGTGGTATTTTCGCCCTTTCACATCTGTAAACAAGTTTGCCCCGTTTTAAATTCGCCCCAAAAGATTTTTGCTTAAAATATTATACAGTTTACTTTGAATTTGCCCCGTTATAAATTCCCCCCACGCCAGCCAAGGCAAAAGGGGCGAAAATTAAACGGGGGCGAAAATTTCCTTGTATACAGTATTCACTGAGTTCAGAAACATTCACTGAGTTGAGCTTTAAAATCTTTATTTATGTTTTAGATGAGGCTCGAGTTGAAACATCTGTGTCTCTACATGAACCAGAAGAATGTGATGAGGAAGTGACAGGTAATTGATCAGCGTTACTAGTTGTTTGTGTAGCCTTTTAGTTTAACAAGTTAGTAACTTTAGTTCTCATCCCAATGTTAAAATTGAGAGATTTTCTTCAGCCATGGATTTTGTTCTGGATAGCTCAGTAGGAAGACATCTGACTCATGATGCAGGGGTCCTGGGTTCGATTCTCCGTTTAATCATTCTTTTTCTCCTTTATGCTACATACTCTTATGAAGTAAAAAGTTAGGATAGAAGTCTGTCATTCTTAATGATAACATTCACTGAGTTGAGCTTTGAAATCTTTATTTATGTTTTAGGTGAGGCTCAAGTTGAAACATCTGGGTCTCTACCTGAACCAGAAGAATGTGATGAGGAAGTGACAGGTAATGGATCATCATTACTAGTTGTTTGTGTAGCCTTTTAGTTTAACAAGTTAGTAACTTTTGTTCTTATCCGAATGTGAAACATTGAGAGATTTTCTTCGGCCATGGATTTTGTTCTGGATAGCTCAGGCGGAAGACATCTTACTAGTGATGCAGGGGTCCTGGGTTCGATTCCCGGTTTAGCCATTCTTTTTCTCCTTTAATGTTACGTACTCTTATGAAAGTAAAAAGTTAGGATAGGAATCTGTCATTCTTAAAGGCATTATTCACTTAGTTTAATAACATTCACTGAGTTGAGCTTTGAAATCTTTATTTATGTTTTAGATGAGACTCGAATTGAAACATCTGGGTCTCTACGTGAACCAGAAGAATGTGGTGAGGAAGTGATAGGTAATGGATCAGCATTACTAGTTGTTTGTGTAGCCTTTTAGTTTAACAAGTTAGTAACATTAGTTCTCATCCCATTTTGAGAGATTTTCTTCGGTCATGGATATTGTTCTGGATAGCTCAGGCGGAAGACATCTTACTAGTGATGCAGGGGTCCTGGGTTCGATTCCCGGTTTAGCCATTCTTTTTCTCCTTTAATGTTACGTACTTTTATGAAAGTAAAAAGTTAGGATAGAAATCTGTCATTCTTAAAGGTAATATTCACTGAGTTGAATAACATTCACTGAGTTGAATAACATTCACTGAGTTGAACTTTGAAATCTTTATTTATGTTTTAGATGAGACTCAAATTGAATCATCTGGGTCTCTACCTGAACCAGAAGAATGTGATGAGGAAGTGACAGGTAATGGATCAGCATTACAAGTTGTTTGTGTAGCCTTTTAGTTGAACAAGTTCTTAACTTGTCTTAAAAATAATGGTCGCCTGCTTTGAGCAGTGGTTGGAGCATCCAATCTAGAGTCACGAAGTTAGGAGTCAATCCTTACGTCGTGGGATCGAATCCAACTTGGATCATGGATAATGGTCTTTCAGATGAGGCCGTAAAAACCTTGGCCACGTGTCGAGTAGGTGCTGGCACAAGAAAGATCCCTCACTGCCAAAAGGCCCTGAGTGCTGAAAAAAGGAAAAAAATTGTTGTCCTCCACCTGCAAGTGTTGGTGTTTCCATATGAAAAAAAATTCTCCAAAGGACTTTAAAAAAGAAACAAAACAAAGTTTTTGTTTACATTTTTAAATGTGATTTGACTAAACTGTTTTAAGAAGCACTGAGTATATTTAAGTTGTTGACAGGTCATGGAACTTTATACCATCTGTAATGGTTTTAGATGTTCATGTTTATAGTTTTTCCACCTTTTTTTCATTTTTGTACATTTCCATTAATTTTTCTTAAAGTGCCCAACCAGTTTTATTTGGAAGTATTTTTGTCAGAATATAAATACATGTATAAGCTATATTCTAGTTTTAACTTTAGTTCCAGGTGATTGTTAGTTATGATGAATATACAATGTACTTGTAATGGTTTGGGCCGTGGATATCGTCCTGGATAGCTCAGTCGGAAGATATCTGACTATTGATGCAGGGATCCAGGGTTCGATTCCCGGTTAAGCCATACATTTTCTCCTTTAATGTTACATACTCCTATGAAGTAAAAAGTTAGGATAGAAGTCTGTCCTTCTTAAAGATAACATTCAATGAGTTGAGCTTTGAAATCTTTATTTATGTTTTAGGTGAGACTCAAATTGAAGCATCTGGGTCTCTACGTGAACCAGAAGAATGTGATGAGGAAGTGATAGGTAATGGATCATCATTACTAGTTGTTTGTGTAGCCTTTTAGTTTAACAAGTTAGTAACTTTTGTTCTCATCCCATTTTGAGAGATTTTCTTTGGCCATGGATATTGTTCTGGATAGCTCAGGCTTAAGACATCTGACTAGTGGTGCAAGGAACTCGGGTTCAATTCCGTTTAGCCATTCTTTTTCTCCTTTAATGTTACGTAGTACTACGTACTCTTATGAAAGTAAAAAGTTAGGATAGAAGTCTGTCATTCTTAATGATAACATTCACTGAGTTGAGCTTTGAAATCTTTATTTATGTTTTAGGTGAGGCTCGAGTTGAAACATCTGGGTCTCTATCTGAACCAGAAGAATGTGATGAGGAAGTGACAGGTAATGGATCAGGATTACTATTTTTTTGTGTAGCCTTTTAGTTGAACAAGTTCTTAACTTGTCATTCTTTAAGATAACAGTCACCTGCTTGGTGCAGTGGTTAGAGCGTCCACTCTAGAGTCCGAAGTTAGGAGTCAGTCTGGAGGGTTATAATAATCGATATGTCCACCCGTCTGTCTGTCTGTTACGCTTTGGGGTACCCATCTCTGATCCACATATCCTATTGTACTAATGAATTACTTCTCCTATAGTTTTGATCTGATTTCAATATTACTTGGCACACAAGTAGACTACACTAAGATACATAAAATAGTGCATCGGTTATTGATTTCGAAGAACAGTGTTGCCATGGTTACTAAAAATAGAATTTTCTGTGAAATTCCTTTAAAAAAAACTACTCTTCCTCATTTACTCTAACAGCATACGACATGAACTGCATTCTGTACAGCAAATTAAATATGCAGGGTTTCCTGAAAAAAAAAACATTATAGGCATGAAGGTTGTTGATTTAAACTGTTTTTTATTTGATTATCTTCTACATTTCATTACATGTATTGGCTTTAATTTCACCTTTTTCTCTCCTAAAAGTAATGCATTTAGAAATCATGAAAAATAAAATCTTAATTATACTGCAACCTCAGTCATGTAAAATTTAGAGAAAAAAAATCTTATTTAACATAATTTACTTGTACAGTCACATGCAAAAATATTCGGTCAAAAATGATGGCATGTTTACACTTTTATATAATCTTTCTTTCTTGATATTCATCAACATCAAATTCATGTTAAAATGTCTAAAAACTCTCTGTTTCCTATGTCGTCTGCCAAAATTAACATTGAACAATAATCTAGAAGCTATATTTATCCACTGGTTAAGTGACTTAACCCACCTCTGTGGAATGGTTAACTTTAGCCAATATTTAGCCACTGGATAGCAATGTTAACCAATGGATAAATTTTGAGCAACAGAATTTAACCAATGGTTAAAAATTAACCACTGGATAAGAGATTTAACCAGTGGTTAACCTTAACCAGTGTTTCAGCAACTCAGTCCAGAAGAGCTTATGTGATAGTAATGTGTCCATTGTCAGTCCGTCTGTCCAGCTGTCTTTCTGTCTGTCTGTCCATCTGTCTGTAAACAGACGCCGGACAAAATGTGATCAGAAAAGCTCACTTGAGCCTTCGGCTCAGGTGAGCTCAGTGATTGGGATAAGCACGCGCCCCGCGCCATAGTCGCATTAAATTTCAAAATGTCACATTAAAATTAAAATCGCTGCGCCATCGTGACGCATTTATAATCATGCACTACATACTTTTAAACTTTGAGCTTTCCCCCAAGCGCTTGTAGTATTTCCCAAAACAATCGCTGTCAATTTACGCTTGATAAAATAGTATTTAATGTCGTTTAATTAAAGCGTTCTTATGACTTTCTTTTCTCCAGTATCTAATCAAACAGTTACGTGTTATCTGATTGGCTAATGCGCCCGGAATAAACTGGTGTCAGACGTGCAGCATGCTGCCTAAGAAAATACCTCGTACCGATAAAGGGCAGACTTTTCTTAATTTTAACAATCCCAACGAACAGAATTCAAGTAAATCGGTAGAAAATGACCCGGAAGAAGTATAACATGCTGACAGAACGAATGGGGATGAATCTGGTAGTTAGATGTAGTCTCGGAGGAAAAAC